GGTGGAGGGAGGGGAGGGGTGGGAAGGTGCGGTGGGAGTTGATAACTAGGAAGTTTTATTATGGGGATGGAGCGGAAGAGTTAAGTACAAAAAAAAATAGAGGAGGGGGGAGGTTAAATTTTCTTGCTTTTTGCCTACAACCCCCCCACCCCCCCCCCCCCCCCAGGCGATAAATAATGACCGGTCCCTTACTAGAGGCTCTGTCTTTCCTTTCCTGAACAACAGTGAACAATGTGTCATCATTCCTATTTATCAAATTTCTGAAGGTTTTTTAAATTTGTTGAACAGAATGCACGTCCTCAAGGCGATATCGCTTTCAGGATCGCTATTTTTTGCAAATGTTTCTTTTATTAGCTTGTTAACCCCTGGCAACTGGATTTGACCTTGAAAGAGATCGGAATGTATGGCATGGAATTATTGTACCGAATATGTATTTAGTCTACGTAATATTATAGGAAAGAATTCGATCGTGACGTTTGAAGAATAAGCTAATTTGGCGGATGTTATTAAATTCAACGCATGATTGATCAAAAATCACGTTGACGATATAAATATCCACCAGTTCTCACTTATCGAGCAAGCATCATGTTGGTCGCTCGTGATCAAGGTACCGTGTTCGGCCGGCTATGGACGCGAACATCTTAAAAGGCTTAGACTTAAAATTGAAGACTGTGAAAGGTGCCTGTTTCAGCGAACGTAAAGAGCCTATTTTGCAAGAGCACTTAGCCGTGTAATAGCTTCCACAGATCTCGGCTCGGAGATTCCTAACACCTCGGTGGAAAAGGTCTTCCATATTTTGGTATGCTTCCTGTAGTTGTAGCTGTTGTCTTCTTCGGGCATTTTATAAGCTCATCGTCGATCGAAACAGGTGAGAATGATATGCAATTTATTTTGATATCGTGTGGTTAGTGTGTTGATTGGCGTTTATGCGCCTCGTTTAGTAAGTTATTTATTTTGATCGACCCTGATCTAAGTACATAGTTACGTCATACGGGCAACTTGTAGAGCGGTCGAGTTTCTTGAGACCCGAAATAGGACAGCTTTTGATTGATCATGTTTTTATCCTTTACTTATTATGCAAATTGTAGCCTTCAGATGCAGCGGTAGGAGCTGTAGACAAAACAGCTTCGCTGTTCTGTTGATAAAATATATCAGCTGAAAATAAAATAATAATAATAATAATAACTGTTTTAATTTTTAGTTATATTCTATTTGAACGTCGGAAAATCTCGCCATTTCTGAACACAGAATTTATGCCAAAGAAATCATCCCAAACTGAAAACAAAAGAACAGGAAGAAAATTTCTGCGCGTAAGACAGCTGTTTTATCAGCTGTTTATCTTGAGTTTTAATATTATGCCCAGCGGGTGAGTTAAAATAATTAGAAATCAAGAGCCATAATGGGACCATTATGGCTCTTGTTAGAAATACATTGTATTGACTGTATTCTTATCAGGGGCACCCAACGACTTTTTTTCTCTAAAATATCTGTTCGGAGAAGCACAAGTAGCCTTAAATTTTTTGTTACTTGAGGATGGCCACAAAAAATGTACAATTTTCGAAGCTTATCTAATAAATTGCCTACGATTTTCTAAGGTATAATATTTCACATTTCACTCCTGAGGTTATTATATTTTTCGAAGAAAAAAGGCAACTTAAAATTTTCGGATTCAAAAATGTGATGGAGAAAGGAATCAGTAAAATTCTTACTTTCGGAATACGCTAAATTGCATCGAACATTTTCGGGAAAATAATAATAACATTAATAATAACATTTATTTATCCCGCGCAAATTCAACTATACAGTTTTCAAATGCGCCTCACATTTACAATTAAAGATCTAAAAATATACCGTAAAAAAAAATTACAAACATTACAACATTATATCAGAAAAAGACTTTTTTCAAAAGGTGAGNTAACTTTAATTTTATCAGGAATTCTCATTGTATGCTCTCTTCCTCACATCGTGTTTGTTCATCTCCGTTTGTACATGAAACAAGAGACGCTACAAGAGCGTCTTGATTTATTTGCCTTTGTCATAATTGGAGATGAGATGATGTTTGTCAAGGTAGCCTTGGATGCGTTTATTTACGCGTGGAGGCTGGCTAAATACAGAAGATCACTGAAAATTGTACTGGGGTGTAATGCGAATCAAGTGAACCCTGATGCTACTGAGATAAGAACAATGGACAACTTTACTTTCCAACAGCCAAAATCCGAATCGACATCAACGACCATAGTTCAGAATGAAACGTTTCGAAGATAAACGGATTCAATTCTTGGATACCCTCTCTTTTTTTTTGTATAAATTGAAGTATTGAGTGTTGAAATGCCCAAGAAAATACCTCTACGGCTTCCCTATAGTATTAAGACACAAGTCAATTAGCCTGCAAGATACTAGCCCGTGCCGGCAGGCTTTCAGATAGTAGGGAGATCAGAAAACTGGCCAAGCAAAATGAGACGTGTTTGATCTAGGGCAGGGGTGGTACCTTCTCTCTGCCTGTAATGAAAGCGTGCACTAATTTCTCGGTAGATTCTATGCTTAGATATTTTCTGACGCGTCTTATATTGTGTAGATGAAAAAAAGCACTCCTACAAGTTTTAGTTATGTTAAAATTCAGGTTGAAATGTCAGTCAAACCAGGCCTCTAAAGTTTCTGAGGGGTTCCGTGCTAGGAGAGATGATGGATTCGCTAATAGTTAGAGTGGCGCTTTTAGTTTTCTTTAGCTGCGCCTTCGTCCCAATGAGCATAAACTCAGTCTTGGAATCATTGATCATGAGTTTGTCATTGATCATCCAGCTATGGATGACACAGAGGCACGCTTCCATTGCTGCAATGGCGGCGTCTTGATCGGAATCGTCGTTTGGATTGAATGCCAAATAGATACCGGTATCATCGGTATAACTGCGCGTCGTTGGCAAGTGCTGGCTAATGACATAAAAAAGCTCACTAGTGTAAAGGGAGAACAACATTGGGCCGAGACAAGAGCCCTGTGGCACGCCAAACTTCAGATCAAAACTGTCTGACTTTGCACTGCCGATTACAATACGCTGGGATCTATTCGACTGATAGGATTTAAACCACGTTACTGCTTGATCTTTAATTCCAAATTTGTATTCCAGGCGCCGCAGTAATATATCATGGTCTACTGTATCAAAGGCAGCGCTTAGATCTAGGAACACTAGTAATGTGACTTGTTGTTTGTTCATGCTGACGAGTATGTCGTTGCGCATGCGCAGTAAGGCAGTCTCCGTGCTGTGATATTTGCGGTAGGCTGATTGAAATTCTGGAAACATCTGATTGAATGACACGTGATCAGAGATTTGTAGTGCAGCTGCCTTTTCAGTGATCTTTGAAAGGAATGCGAGATTGCTGACGGGCCGGTAGTTTTTAATACTGGAGCCCTTTTAATTTCGAAAAGACTCAAGTTCCCCTAGGATGACCGAACAGATACACACTTTATAGAGCCACTTAGAATGCATTTCTAGAGATCTTAAAGTACTACTCTGGATAGCCTAAAAAGTGTTTTCAATGTATTTAGAAGGGAACCGTCTTTGGGTACCCCTGTTCATTGCCGCTTTTCAGAAGGTGATTTAGTCGAGCAGACCAAGATAGCCTTGTCAGCTATAAAAATATTTCGCCTCGCTCTAAGTGGTCCCTTCTTATATTGTCAGACGATAAGTCGCGTGACGGTGGCTTACAGCATAATAAAATCAGTTCTTAGAGGGCCGTCAGACTTGTGTTTTAAAGTTAAAAAAACAGCGTTTTTCACAAGATCGACTTGTTTAACCCTCAAGCATAACAGCTGGGTGATAAGTGTAGAGGGGTGTGTGTTTTAAAATAAGTCTGAGCGTTAAAAATCCTTTCATTTCATTTTGGCAAAAATTCTGTACCAAAGTGGCACAAGATATTTCGTCCTATTAAACTTCAAGTCCTCTCGTTTCTTAAAAAAAATGCCAACTCTACGTACTACTATGTGCAATTTTAAAGCATAATTTTAAAGCAGCAACTGTCGGGATTTCCTCGACCTTATGACTATTGATATGACTCCTAACTAATAATAGTACGATGCCCCTTACGTGACATCTATTGAGCAGAAGCCTTATGAATCAGTAATATTTTTGTAATGTTATCAATGTGGATCATTTTCGCTTTTCAATGTTAGGAGTGCGCTGGTGCTGTATCTCGAAGCCAGAGATGGTCAAATGTCAACATTTGATGAATGTGACGTTACAGGTGACCTCACTTGCAAGTGTAACGTGTGTGAATGGAGCTAGTCTGGACAACTGCATGAAGATGATTGTTAACGGTAGTGCTGACGTCATAACTCTAGGAGATGAGCACATTTATCAGGCTGGTATGTTACGTGCCTCTCTTTAATTTAAACCGCAACTCAATCATTCAGGATTCTGTGCTCGAGGTAGCAAATAACAGCGGCCACCGCTAGGGGGGGAAGGGAGGGGGGGGAATGGGGGATATGGTCGTAGCCTTTTATTCATCAGCACCTGAACGTGATAGTGTAGTCCCTTGTTTTCCTCAAGTGACAGCAGAGCGAACGAAATACTCGAGCGCGCACCACTCACAGGGGTATAAGATGTACGTTGTTGTTAAATTTCATTTTTCTATGTTTGAAACTCATTATCATACACAAGAGAGGATCTCATACATTATTATACCCAAAAAACACAAGAAAAATATTCAACCTGAGACAAAATTGAACCACAACATAAATTATACACTGAGGTTTGCGTATTTCGTTTTCTTAAATTTATCTCCAGAGAAAGTCGTGGACAACTCGTAGTCTGCCGATCTTGTAAAACAATTATATTCCATATAAAGGACCACTTTCACTGAAGTTTCAGCAATTCAATACAATGCCCTACCCCGGTTAGTTCACCATTTGAAATATGTACACTGCGTAGGATTCAGAGTCTGTGCTCACATTGTGGTTCGCTCCTCTGTAAAATGTTCTGAAATGGGTATAGCATTTATGGAGATGAATCCAGTGATAGAATTGCAATCCCCTTTCATAAAATTATTCAAGCTAAATTCGCCCATAGACTAGTAAAGAACGCCACTTACAATAGAAAACTTAATTCTTTCCTCATTCCCTTTGATTAGCTATATAGATTTCCAATGTTCTTTAGCATTCTGTTTTACTCCGACAGGGTATCAACACGGTCTTGTACCAATAGTGGCAGAAGACTACGGCAATCGTGAAGAAGGTCTTAGCAGTTATGCCGTAGCTCTTATAAAGAGTAACCTTTCCAAAGAAATTTCTCTGGCGACATTGGAGAAGAGCAGAACATGTCATCCTTCTGCGGGGGACTCGGTCGGGTGGACAGCTCCTGTGGGGTATTTGATTGGTCATGGGAGTGATGACGTCAAAAGATTGCAATCCATATGTATCTTCTGGAGAATTTTTTCAGAAAAGCTGTGTTCCAGGTATGTTGTTAGTATCTTTTACTCTAGTCCTACAGTGGTAAGTAGTATAATGCACACGTCTTTCTTACCTGTACCGTCTTTTCCTTTTTCTCAACTTACTTCTTTGAACTGATACCATTAGCAAGGCTAACAATGAATACAACTGCAGTTTTGAAATCAAGTGTTAGCTAGAGAGGCCAAACTCTAGCTATGACCGTTGTTGTAAGAGCTAAGGCTTTACATTGAAAATTTCAAGACTCCAAGGCAGAAAGAAACACATAGAAACAAGACCCCAATTTCTTAAAATTAGCCTGTGTACAGACGTCCCCCCTCCCTCAGGAAAAATCGGGAGAGGAGATGTCTGTGAATCGCCGACGATAATCGTGTTCCCGTTTTCCCGGAATGTTGGGGACAGCCTCTGATTGGTCGTAATGTTAATGCCATGACGCAAATAATTTCCGGTGTTGTGATTGGTGAATGAACCTCAGAATAGATTCCCCGGGGAAAAGCTCAGCCTTTGTGGACATTTTTTGTAAGACCACCGATCGATGTTTGCTGCACCAGTTGCAGATGCATCTGTCTGTACCGGTTGGTATTGTAAATAAAAGAGAAGGTATACAAAATCCAACGTTAACAGCCAAGGCTGCCGGTCAAGCTTACCCCAAAAAGATTCTATTAATGAATTGATTATTTGAAAAAATGAATCTGTTAGTCATTCCAGTAACTGGTGTCAAATTTAAATCGGCATTCTTGTATGCGTAATGAGCATTGAATATTTTAAGAGAACTTCTCTGCATTTGGTCAGATTGAAAATCTTTGAATGGATTAAATGTCTTAAAAGACATTTACATCAAATTCAGGGAAACTGAGCTGGTAGAAATTTCGTAACTAAATTGCGTGTGAATTCAAGGCTCATTACGCATGCAAAAATGCACACAGAGATGAATCTGAAATCTACAACTACCAACGGTTCAACTTAATTTCGAATAATAGATACATTAATGGGTCTTGGGAGGTACGCTTGACTTGGCTTGACTGTAATCATCTTCAACGTAAAGATGTTCGTCTAGCCTGTGCACAGACGCCAGAGCTATTTTTCGACCTATGTGTGCCTTTTCAACTGTCAACGAAAGAACAAAAAAAAATAATTTATGCAAATTTATACCGGAACACAATTAACAACATCGATTCACAGACATCTCCTCTCCCGATTTTTCCTGAGGGAGTGGGGACGTCTGTACACAGGCTACTTAAAATCTATTTCAGACCCTACCAAGAATTTTCTTATACGCATGATTAATTTTTTTGCTAGATGCCAATTTTTCCCAGCTAGGTTACAAAAAGCATGTTTCTGACCATGAAATATGGAGGGGTCATATATATATATCTTTCTTCTTTATTTCTTTTTTTAATATTTGCATCAGAAAAGGGGCTTTTTTGTATTTCATTTATTTTTTTGCCCCTAAAATCAGTTGTTGTCACCTGTGGTGCCAATAGTTATTATTTTACAGGTACAAAGGAACTGTCCTTGAATTATTGGCAGTTTTGAGTTTTTGTTACAGTCGACTCCCGATAATTCGAACCTTCAAGGGAAATAGAAAAAAGTTGGAGTTATCAAGGGTAAAAGTATATGGAAAATGATCTGAAGGGAATTGAAAATTACCTTGCCTTAACGGGAGGTTCGAGTTATAGAGGGTTCGAGTTATGGGGAGTCAACTGTGTCTAGGTTTTCTCATTAGTTACAGTTACAACATATGTACATTTGAGATTATTTTTCCTCTTGACTAGTGCCTCATTTCACCCTGAATAATTTGTCAACTCTGACGTATTACAAACTAAGCAAGTTGTGATACTCTAGCTGAAGAAATAGAAGTTGATTTATCTAAGATAACCTTGTTTTATGAGAAATAAATCCGTTCCTTTGTTTGGTGGGTTAATGAAAAGATCTTTATAATTATGTGTATTAGTATTTGCTTGCAAATTATACCAGGTAACTTGCAAATAACTTCCAAACACCTGTTTATGTTGTTAAGACTTGATTTTGAGCTAGACATAGTTTTTTGGTAACCAAACTGGTAAATGATGAAATTAATAGTTTATTGTTCGATTCAGAGGTTTATTGAAAATAGAACTTGGCATTTAGTATCCCTATGGTTTCCTGGCTTCTAGGCTTCTTCACAGCTTTCCTTTCGTGTTTGTAACCATGGCACATTGTTCTGAGGTTTAGGATATTATATAGAAAATTCCCTAGATCTATGTGGTGCAGATTTTAAATTCAGCAGTGTTAGTAAGGTGTCCATGAATTTGACCTATTAAATGTAGTTGACACCTCGCTGAATTGTGATTGAAAATAAAATTATTACGTCATCAACTCATAAGTAAAATTGTTTAATTTTTGGCAATCAATAATATTTTACATTCTAAATACTGGTGCCATTACTAGATTCTTTCGTACAATTTATTCCTTAAACAACGTTTCATGTTGTTTTTATGTATTGGTACATTCAATACTTCTCCATATGACACTCTACACATGTAAAATTAGTAATGTTCCATTTCTTTATAAAGTTTCTTTTTGCTGATTAAAAAAACAAAACAAACAAAAAAATACAAGCACTCATTGACCTACTTTGTCATGATAAAAGTGTTATTTTTTTCTTTGCCTGGTTATGTTACCTACTCAGATTTCTCTATGATACATGAACATCTTAAATAAAAACTAGTTATAGCTATCGCTAGGTGCCCATGAGCACAGATTTTACCTATACGTGCACACTGTTCAGTTTGTTTAGAAATGTCATGAATTGATGTAATTTACAAGAACAAGCAAACAACAAATCTTAAAAAGGTGAATGATCCTTGTTACAGTACACGATTCTGTCAGTTTTATCCAGGATCAATGTAGCAGGTGAGAAATTGTTTCTTCAAAATAAATAAATAATTCTGACAACATTTGTTAAATACAAAAGATTTCAAAATATGTCAATTTTAAATAACATTCAATCAAAATTAAACACAATTTTTATCTGCAGAAAACAGTACTGCTATTGATTAATTTCTTTTAATTACTTACAAAATTTCAATGTCTTTGACATACAGCATGTTGGCAGGCTGAACAATTTAATAATAAAGATCTAAAGTACCGTGATTTCTACTCAACCACCGTTCAAAACTCAAACTATAATGCCTTCCAGGCTCTTCTCGAATGATATCGTCTCTTTTCTTTTCCAAGGCGGACAAGTCAAGTTTTTGTTTTGATTTGGAGTTTTTCCAGTCCTCAAAGCTCTTTTGCCCCTCTATCCTAGCTAATCTCTTGTTTTCCTGTTCTATTTGCTTTCTCAGTTTCTCTTCCTTTTCTTTTTGTTGTTTTTGCTGTTTCTTTGATTTCTTTTCTTCCAACCACTCATCAAAGGTTGCAGACTTTGAACTCCCATGAGATTTACTGGAAAAGAGAAATGAGGTACCCATATAAGCATCATTAAGCTTTGTTCTCAGCTGACATGTAATTTTTCATTCTTGTAAATAAAAGCGTTTTGTACAATAGATAAATACACATCAATGATTCCCCATCCCTTCATGCACTAACAGTTTAACAAAGGTAGGAATACAGTCAAACCTGTATTAAGTAGACACCCTCGAGAAATGCTGTAGTGTCCACTTAATACAGGGTGTCTGCCTAATACAGGTTTCGATAGATAATATCATATGAGGGGTCAAACCCATTCAAATGAACAGTGGAAATGTTTAGAATACCCCCAGAGACTATGACGATATACGTTTGCATTAATTTCTTGATCAAAGTGGACCAATATTGATCATAGTACCATAAACATACAGTAGATTGCAACTCAAATTTGAAGAAATCAGATTGAGTGAAACAAGCTCTATGCAAACAAAAGGAAATAGAAAACAAGACTGTACCGTGAAACTAATCAAATAAGTTTGTCAAATCACGTTTTTTAACGTAAAAAATTCGAAAAATTTGTGGGTGGCAATTCCACGCAAACTTTCGCATTTCCAGTGTCTGGCATGTTGGGTGGTGGAATTTAATTACAAGTGTCCATTTAATACAGGTTGGCAGCAATAGAAATGACCATTTCAGGTCCTTTAGGTGTCCGCACCCGCTTAATAAAGGTGTCCGTTTAATAAAGGTTTCATTTAAAGTAAATACGGGAAATAAATTTGGGGACTTTGGCTACTGTCTACTTTAATGATAGAGGGTGTCTGCTTAATACAGTGCCTGCTTAATACTTCATTGTTTTGTGAGTCTGAGAGAGACGTCTGTGTCTTGATGTTGACACCCTGTAAACTTGTTTGAGTTTCTGTTTCTCCTTGGGGGCTTATTTTTTTAAAATTTTGATTTTACAGGGTTGTAACTAAGATTTCAAGTTGCTGGGTAAATACAACAAGGAGGTGGGGAATCAAATAGCTAGGGATTTCTTTTGGTTCTATTTTTTTAAATTATTTTTCCAATAATAATAATAATAATGATAATAAGGACTTTATTAGCTTTTATTGGACAACAGAATTACTGGAAATTCCAGTACAGTGGAAACGGGCCTTATGGCCACTTTTTTTTTTGGCTGCCTGGCAAAAACTGCCATACATTTTCTTGTAAAAACACCCTCGTTAATATGGCCATCCATTAATAGGGCCAATTTTTTTTGGCCCAGTGGTGACCATATTAACTGGGTTCCACTGTAGTTTACATTGTGGTCCAATGAAAGTAACCAGGGGCCACATTCATGCTAGCCTGGGAAAGTCCCCAGCCCCCAGCTCTTAATGGCCTGCGAAGCGCAGGCTTATTTCCGGTCATCGCTTCTCTGTCCTTTGAAACTAGAAACTAAAGTCGAAAAAAAAATGGATGCTCTCACATGCTAGGTTCTTAATGACAGGCCTGTTTTTATGGTGAGATTGGTGCCAGCAAACCTTAAATACTTCTCGTTAAGCAAATTTTAACCTACGAGTTGAGTGTTCAACTGGTACATTGAGTGCTCTAGTTGTACCCGATGAAAGTCATATATATATACTCTTAAAAGCTTTAATGTTCACCCTTTTCCCAAGACTGATAAAAGTGTCTTTCGTTTCTCAAGAATCTGGTAGACAGAGCAAGCCATGTAGTTGGATAGCCTGTGATCACTCTCCCTATATCTCTAAATTTCCTTCATGGGAAGGAAGGTTTCCTTTTTCCCTCTCTTTTCAAAAATAAATAAATAAATAAATAATAATAATAATATTATAATACATATAAAAATAATTATAATAATAATAAAAGGCTGATCACAGGTTAGTGGTTTGACAAAAGGCAAATACAGATCAGTTGTTCAAAATTAACTCTAAATCTGTTACTTATAATTTTTATTTGCCAACAAATAATGCAGGGGTCACTGTACCTGCTTGCCAGTCTTTCCTTTGATGGCCTAATCTGTGGAAGCACTGGTCGCACTGACCCACCCATGCTGTATCTTGTAACTAAGGGGAAATAAGGCAGAATCTTAAAAATCATTCGTTGGAATGAAAAGTGGGATCCATGTCCAGTCAATATTTGGTTATCCAAAGCGAAAACTAACTGAACACTCAGAGACTTGAATTGAATGGTTATGACCCGTATTCCTGAGAAAGTCTTTCCTAATCAGCATCTGGACCCATCATTCACTTGTGGTTAGACATAATCACCCACTTTGGTGCAGTGGTTGAATTTATATCTGCAACCCAACCACCCCTTTCTCCTTACCCAAATATGAAAGCCATTAATTTTGTTAGTACTTAGGTTCTGTAATAACACCCTGTCAGAATCTTGAATTCCAGCTCTTATAGAGGGAATGAGAATCACTATTTTTTGAGAAGCACTCAAAACCTGTTAGAATTATGCCCTTGATCCATAAGAGGGGGAGGGATAAAACTTGAATGACCAAGTTTGATCTTGAGTCCTATTTTGAGTGGTTTAGTGTTTAGTGGGATCCAGATTCTTTGAGCTGTATCCTCGGGATTCTAAAGCCTAGAACTCTGGATTCCACAAGTAAAAATGTCTCGGATACCAGATTTGACTAGCAAACATTTTCCAGATTCCCCATCCTCGGAGACCAAGGGTCAGTCAGTCAGGTCGGGAGAAGAGGCACGATGAAAGTTTTCAAGAACAGGCGAAAACTTTCAACTCACTGACTTCCCTTGGATCTTCAAGGATGCAGATTCCCTTACATGGTGCGAAAAGAACTTACCATCATATTCTACCGCTCCACTAATGGGAGGTAACTCGTCAGAAGACTGTTCAAGAAAAGATTCCTCGTACTGTAACTGGTTTCCGGGCTCCACTGCCCTCCTCCTTGGGGCACTGATTCCCGTACCAGCAAATTCTCCCGGGGGGAGTGTTTGACAAAAGTAAACCTGTGCGTATTTTCCTTTTAACCATGTAGGATAAGCCGAGTCAAATTGTTGATGCATCATCAACGACTTGCTCCTTCTCTTGGGCTTTGTTTTAGCAGCTCTTGTTTGCCACTGGAACAGAAATTTTACGGAAAGCGACAGAAATTTTGGGGTAACTGAGCGGTGGTAGTTTCGACTTTTGCCTTGTACGTCTATTTCGTCCATGGATGCGCCCTTTTCTAACATCAGATCTATTGCGTTCGAATGCCCTTGCGAAGAAGCTGCGTGCAGTGGCGTTCGACCAAATGGGCTTTTCATGTTCACATCAGCTTCGGTGTTGTCTATTAAACTTCTTATTAAATTAATGCGACCGCGATGTGCAGCGATAAAAAGAGCTACCGAAGCTCTGTCCTTAGCGATGGAGACTTTGTTTCTGTAAATCGTCGGGTCTAAAGATTCCCAAGCTTTCTCCAGCGCAACTCCTTCCTTGAGCACTTGATCTATGGTGCCTCGACAGACAGCAGCTACTAAGTTATCCCACGATCTCCAGAGCTTTAAATTAATCGTTGCGCCAGCCACAACATCGTTATGTCTTAAATCGGAATCGTCCAGCATATCTCCCTCATCGAGGTACTGTAACCGCTGTAAATTGTAAGGAATTCCAACGACAAGTTCGGCGTAACATTTGAGTTCGCGAATCTTCATTTCGGCGTGGACATTCTTTAGCAAGAACTTTTCTCCCGTGCAAGATATGTTAATGTAAGTATCGAAAGGAGCTGTTTTCAATCCTTTTCTCTTTTTTTTGCTTGTTGCCATTTCGGCTACTTAAAAAGCCTTTGAATCCATAAACCGAATGTGTCCCCGCAAAGCTTTTATTCTACCGCCATTTGCCTTTTGCAGTTGAAGATTGTTTAAATTTAGTAAAGCTATCACCGTAGCAACGCTGTCAATCTTAATTCCACAGTGAGTTGTCACGCGACGCTTCAGTCGACTTTCAGTCACGCGACTATTTAACTTATTTTATTTTATGGATTATTATACAATTATCTGAAAGGTTAGCAAATCGATAAAGAGGTTTAAAAATACGTTTGTCGTCTCGCTGTCTTTATTACCAAGCGGCTCCTGGTTACTAGAGGCTCTGTCTTTCCTTTCTTGAACAACAGTGAATAATTTGTCATCATTCCTATTTATCAAATTTCTGAAGGTTTTTTAAATTTGTTGAACAGAATGCGCGTCCTCAAGGCGATATCGCTTTCAGGATCGCTATTTTTTGCAAATGTTTCTTTTATTAGCTTGTTAACCCCTGGCAACTAGATTTGACCTTGAAATAGATCGGAATGTATGGCAAGGAATTATTGTACCGAATATGTATTTAGTCTACGTAATATTATAGGAAAGAATTCGATCGTGACGTTTGAAGAATAAGCTAATTTGGCGGATGTTATTAAAGTCAACGCATGATTGATCAAAAATCACGTTGACGATATAAATATCCACCAGTTCTCACTTATCGGGCAAGCATCATGTTGGTCGCTCGTGATCAAGGTACCGTGTTCGGCCGGCTATGGACGCGAACATCTTAAAAGGCTTAGACTTAAAATTGAAGACTGTGAAAGGTGCCTGTTCCAGCGACCGTAAAGAGCCTGTTTTGCAAGAGCACTTAGCCGTGTAATAGCTTCCACAGATCTCTGCCCGGAGATTCCTAAAACCTCGGTGGAAAAGGTCTTCCACCCCATATTTTGGTATGCTTCCTGTAGTTGTAGCTGTTGTCTTCTTCGGGCATTTTATAAGCTCATCGTCGATCGAAACAGGTGAGAATGATATGCAATTTATTTTGATATCGTGTCGTTAATGTGTTGATTGGCGTTTCTGCACCTCGTTCATACGGGCAACTTGTAGAGCGGTCGAGTTTCTTGAGACCCGAAATAGGACAGCTTTTGATTGATCATGTTTTATCCTTTACTTATTATGCAAATTGTAGCCTTCAGATGCTTCGGTAGGAGCTGTAGACAAAACAGCTTCGCTGTTCTGTTGATTAAATATATCAGCTGAAAATAAAAAAATAATAACTGTTTTAATTTTCAGTTATATTCTGTTTGAACGTCGGAAAATCTCGCCATTTCTGAACACAGAATTTATGCCAAAAAAATCATCCCAAACTGAAAACAAAAGAACAGGAAGAAAATTTCTGCGCGTAAGACAGCTGTTTTATCAGCTGTTTATCTTGAGTTTTAATATTATGCCCAGCGGGTGAGTTAAAATAATTAGAAATCAAGAGCCATATTAAATGGGACCATTATGGCTCTTGTTAGAAATACATTGTATTGACTGTATTCTCATCAGGGGCACCCAACGACTTTTTTCTCTAAGATATCTGTTCGGAGAAGTACAAGTAGCCTTAAATTTTTTGTTACTTGAGGATGGCCACAAAAAAATGTACAATTTTCGAAGCTTATCTAGTAAATTCCCTACGATTTTCTAAGGTATAATTTTTCACATTTCACTCCTGAGGTTATTATATTTTTCGTAGAAAAAAGGCAACTTAAAATTTTCGGATTCAAAAGTGTGATGGAGAAAGGATCAGTAAAATTCTTACTTTCGGAATACGCTAAATTGCACCGAACATTTTCGGGAAAATAATACTGGAGCCCTTTTAATTTCGAAAAGACTCAAGTTCCCCTAGGATGACCGAACAGATACACACTTTATAGAGCCACTTAGAATGCATTTCTAGAGATCTTAAAGTACTACTCTGGATAGCCTAAAAAGTGTTTTCAATGTATTTAGAAGGAAACCGTCTTTGGGTACCCCTGTTCATTGCCGCTTTTCAGAAGGTGATTTAGTCTAGCAGACCAAGATAGCCTTGTCAGCTTTAAAAATATTTCGCCTCGCTCTAAGTGGTCCCTTCTTCTTATATTGTCAGATGATAAGTCTCGTGACCGTGGCTTACAGCATAATAAAATCAGTTCTTAGAGGGCCGTCAGACTTGTGTTTTAAAGTAAAAAAACAGCGTTTTTCACAAGATCGACTTGTTTAACCCTCAAGCATAACAGTTGGGTGATAAGTGTAGAGGGGTGCGTGTTTTAAAATAAGTCTGAGCGTTAAAAATCCTTTCATTTCATTTTGGCAAAAATTCTGTGCCAAAGTGGCACGAGATATTTCGTCCTATTAAACTTCAAGTCCTCTCGTTTCTTAAAAAAATGCCAACTCTACTTACTACTATGTGCAATTTTAAAGCATAATTTTAAAGCAGCAACTGTCGGGATTTCCTCGACCTTATGACTATTGATATGACTCCTAACTAATAACACTACGATGTCCCTTACGTGACATCTACTTGAGCAGAAGCCTTATGAATCAGTAATATTTTTGTAATGTTATCAATGTGGATCATTTTCGCTTTTCAATGTTAGGAGTGCGCTGGTGCTGTATCTCGAAGCCAGAGATGGTCAAATGTCAACATTTGATGAATGTGACGTTACAGGTGACCTCACTTGCAAGTGTAACGTGTGTGAATGGAGGTAGACTGGACAACTGCATGAAGATGATTGTTAACGGTAGTGCTGACGTCATAACTCTAGGAGATGAGCACATATATCAGGCTGGTATGTTACGTGCCTCTCTTTAATTTAAACCGCAACTCAATCATTCAGGATTCTGTGCTCGAGATAGCGAGAGTCCGTTAAAACATGAGGTCATATGCTTTCATCCCACCAATAACAGCGGCCACCGCTAGGTTGGGCGGGTGGGGGGGGGGGGGGGG